AAAAAAAAAAAAAAAAAAAAGTGTTGGTTCATTTAAATCAGGACTTCCAACATTATGCTCATATTTAGATGGTTTTGTCTTTTAGGTATTTTGTAATTAAGATGTCTCCCCCTTTTTCCTTTCTCTTCTCATTTTTTTATGAAGAAGGAATTGGATAATCTGCCTTAAATAATTCCAAAAATATTCCACTAGCTTATTGCATCCTGTTGATGTTGTTTAATATATACCCCAATGCTGCCTATAAATCTATAAAGAGTGCTAGAAATTTAATCAAATTAGGGTTCAGATTGGTCAGGCACTCTTCATAGGCAGTGGCCCCCAGTGCAGCTGTGTCAGCTGTCTTTCTTCCTGTGCTGTGGAGTTTGATCAGGTGCATGTTACTATCAATTTCCCACCAGCTGACTGTTGGTTTCAACTGTCACTGATGGTCCCTGCCTAGATGAAATACTTCACTAGGTTATGCAAAATGTTGACATTCTATTACTGTTTCTGCACTTATTACCTAGAATTGTTTTATAAAGAAGAATCTTCAGCCACCCATGTGTCCCACTCCCCACAGTGTGACCACAACACAGCAAGTGCTCATGGAAATGCTCGATGGGTGTCTCAGGAGACTCTCACCCACCACAGCTGCAAATTCATAGTCGTTCCTTGTACTTAGTACATAAGTGAAGACTGTACGGAATGGGCTGGAAGTTGACAAAACAAACCCTAAGGTGTCTTATCCATGGAATATACATCACTTCTGCTTTGGGAAAAACTGGGGCCCAGGTCCCCAGGCCTGGGAAGAAGAACCTTTTCATGAGAGCCAAGATATTTCTAGAGAGATTTCTCCAACTCTCTTGAACCCAGGGACTCGGGTACAAGCACAGCTACAGTACGTGCAGCCTTCCAGAGAGAGGATGGAGGGTGGAATCTTCCAGAGTCCACTCTCCTTCCCAAAGAACAGAAAACTCTGCACTCTGCCGTGGAAAAACAAAAACAAAAACATAGTGTTCCTAACTCATCAAGAATTCCATTCATTATATGTGCATAAAACACAACAAAAATGGTGCATGCTCACCACAAAAACGTGGAGAATGTGTGTGGTCTTTTAAAAGGCTCTAAAGGCCCAAAGTGAGGAAATGATTATTTTATATTTTTCACACAATACATGTTTTAACCTAACATTATCTCATGTAGCTTGAAAACTAACTCAAAGAAAATCCCACAGGAAAATGAGCACATTCAATGCCAGCACCAAAGGAATGAGTCTACGGTGGTTAACTGTGAAACCCACAGGAACCTGCATGAATACATCCTGATTCACCTGTCAAAACACTAGGCACCTTATTTTGTAGCAAAACTTCACACAAAGATTTATTGACAAGATCAATGAGATTCCTTTCTGTTTGATTTCCTGGGTTTATCATGAATTTACCTTAGCTGTGTTTTATTTTGCTTGTTTTACCTATAACCCAATCCCTAGAAAACTGGTTGGGGGACTTCAAAATGCCTCTCTACACAGGATTAAAGAACTTGAGAAACACCAGGAGGAAGTAAAAATTGGGACTCACCTGAGAAGACCAAACAAGGTGATCACCAGGCTGTCAGAAAACAAACAAATAGAATGGAATCAGAAAAAAAGTGAGGGTGCTGGGCATTTAAAACCACATTAATAAGGTTTTTTGTTCTGTTCTGTTTTGAATAAAAACCAAGGCTTTAAACAGTTTTAAGTGGTACGCATTTTAATGTGACCATCCATATGTGGATTCTTCTATCCTTAGAAATAAAATAGAAGATAAATGTCATGGGAGGATATTCTCCATATTCTAATTTCTTATAAGTTCAATTATCGCATGACTCAAGCCTTTATATTTCTCAGAAAGAATGACCCTCCTAATGGATTCCCTCCCAGAGATGTCTGGAACAAAGAAAATTTCCAAGAAATGTTAGAGGAACTGCCCTTGTCCAACGCTCCTGACACAGGACAGCAGTGAATGTATATAAAAAGCAGGACTGAGAAACTTTACCTCTCAAATATCCCCCTACTAAAAATCAAAACTGATGAAAACTGTAACAGGCTTACAGGGAAGTCTGAAAGAGTTTGTAAAGACATTTGTTTTTCACTCTTATAGTCTATGTCTCTACCTCCTCCATATTTTAACAATGCTGGGATGGCTTTCCAGTGTAAACCAAGGAGATACCTGACACTGAAGGTTTCTATAAATTCATAGAATAAATCCCAAGGTGGGTCAAGTTCCGATATGGCTCTTTACATGACAAGTAATGACCTGGTCACAGAAAGTTCTCTCCGAGTGATGACAATTATGCAGTAACTCTTCATTATGAATTCTCAGGTGGCACATGAGATTTTTTTCTTTTTCAGACTGTCCTCAGTAGTTATATTCGGAATGTCTTTCCCCAGCACAAGTTCTCTGATGCTGATGCGAGTGGAATGCCTTCTGCATTTTTCTGACATGAATCCTTCCGCTATGGGTAAGGGCTGGGTGGTGGCTGAAGGCACCTTACATTCGTTGCACTCCCTGGGTTTCTCCCCAGTGTTGACTACTTGTGCATTTAATTAAGGAAGAGCTGACAAAAAATAAAAAGCTTCCTGACAGTCTTAGCACTCAGAGGGTTTTTTCCTCCACTGTGGGTCCCGTCATGAGGGATGAAAGAGGAGCAGGAGTAAAGGCCTTTCTACATTCACTGCACCGACAGGGCTTCCTCAAGTATGGACCCGCTGGTGCTGCAGGAGGTGTGACCTGCGTTTGAAGGCTTTGCCACACTCAATGCACTTGTAGGGCATCTCCCCAGTGTGGATGACAGAGTGCTGAATGAGGTATGTGCTCCGATGAAAGGCTTTCCCGCACTGGGTGCATTCATAGGGCTTCTCCCCAGTGTGAATCCTCTGGTGCTGCATGAGCTCTGAGCTGCACCTGAAGGCCTTCCCACACTCCACGCAATCATAGGGCTTCTCTCCAGTGTGGATGATGTAGTGTTGAATTAGGTGTGCCCTACTGCTAAAGGCTTTATCACATTCTTTGCACTCAAAGGGTTTTTCTCCCGTGTGGGTCCTATTATGGCGAATAAAAGTAGAGCGATGGGTGAAGGCCTTTCGACACTGACTGCACTCATAGGGCTTCTCTCCAGTGTGGATCGGGTGGTGCTGCATGAGATACGACCTGCGTTTGAAGGCCTTCCCACAGTCAAGGCACTTGTATGGCTTCTCCCCGGTGTGTATGAGGTAGTGCCGAATGAGGGTTGAGCTCTGGCTAAAAGCTTTCCCACACGCATTGCATTCATAGGGCCTCATTCCAGTGTGAACCCGCTGATGTCGTACAAGATACCACTTCCGGCTAAAACCTTTCCCACACTGCTTGCATTTGTAGGAGTTTGTCCTTACATGAATTGAGGTGTCTTTCCCTGTTTGCTGTGAGTCACATTGAAGGAGAACATCTCCTGCAGATACCTGCTCCAGTAACACCCTGGAGTGCAGACTATCTTCTGTCCCCAAACCTTCATCTTCAAGGCTCATTTTCTCTGGATGGGTCTCCTTGTGAGGGTCTGCCCTTGGCTTCACTTGACCTTTCTGCATTTCCAAAAGCCCTTCCTGATCCCTGGATTTCCCCAGTCTGGAGTCCCTTGAAGATCCCAGACTCAGGCTTCCCTGGAGAAAGGCTCCCTCAAATAAGATCGGCAGACAAGTGGTTGGCTCTCTGGTCTGAAGTTGTGCTCTGTCACCTGAAGGAATCCAACACACAAAGGAGGGGACTTTCAGTGATACAATATAGCAGAAACAAACACTTCAGTACTAAGAAAAGAATGAAAATAGTACCTCTGGCACTTGCTGCATTTTTACATCTCTATAACCCAGGTTTCCAAATACTTTCCATGGTCCTTGTACCCATGACATCATTGAAGGGGAAATCTAGAGTACAGGCTGGACCAGGGGACAGAGCATCTGGAACAGAGATGCCCCTCTTCACAGTCCAGAGTAGGGAAGGGAGGGCAGGGTTTTGATGACATTGTCTGAAGAGCATTTGCTCGAAGAATTGATGCCTCTTGGTGCTATGAGAGTATAGGGAAGTGGCACCTAACAAGACTGGGAAGAAAAGGAGATAATGAAAGGCCTCCTAGAGGGGGTGTCCCATGAGTTGGATCCTAATGGAGAAGCCAGAGCAGTTGCCAGATAAAGGAAGCGGGCATTGGCGTGAAGGTGAGGGAGTAAAACTAGGCAGATTCACCCTTGGAGCGTACTTAAGAGTTATAAGAAAAGGGCACCAGATGCCTGGTGAGGCCAACGTGGAAGGCGTGATCAGAGTTAGAGGAAAGGAATGACGATCCCAGCACAAAAATGACAGAGGGACACATGGGAACAAATGGTACACAGGGTCAAGCATGGTAAGATTTGACAAGTGTCTGCTATATGAGGAGGCACATTGCATGGCAGCCAAGGGTGAAGGCACTGGAGACAGGACGACTCAGTCCAAACCCTACTGCTGTCCAGTGGGCTGATACGAGAGGATGACTTTCTCCACTAAGTCTCAAATTCTTTAATTAAGAGACTAAGAAATTCAGATTCTCAGGCCATCGTGAAGATTAAATGAGAAAATACACAGTTCTTTTTTTTTATTTTTTTGAGACAGTTTTACTCTGTCGCCCTGGCTAGAGTACAGTGGCATCATCACGGCGCACTGCAATCTCCAGCTCCTGGACTCAAGTGATCCTCTTGCCTCCGCTTCCTGAGTAGCTGGAATTGCAGTTGCATGCCACCACGCCTGGCTAATTTTTCTATTTTTTGTAGAGAAGGGGTCTTGCTCTTGCTCAGGCTGGTCTCAAACTCCTGAGCTCATGTGATCCTCCTACCTTGGCCTCCCAGAGTGCTAGGATTACAGGCATGAGCCACCATGCCAAGCCAAGAAAATGCACAGTTCTTGATGAAGCGTAAGTGTTCACCAAATTGTGGGCCATTGTCATTATTATTATTCTCATTGTTGCACTGGGCATTTTGGTCTGAGGGACATAACTACTGTGCTTCAAAAGTAAAGACATCACCACATGTTTAGAAGAACCTAGTGCAACAGTACTCTCATGCCTGGCTTGTGAGAAGGGAAATGGTACAGCTACTTTGGAAAAATATTTGGCAGTTTGACTTAAAGTTGAGTATAAACCTGTCTCATGATGCTGCTATTCCTCTCCTGAGTATATATACAACAGAAATGCGTGCCTGTATCCACTACATATGATGAAAAAGAATAATCATGGCAGCATTCTTCATAATCTCCAGAAAAATATAAACAATGCAAATGTCAATCAATAGGAGAGTGGAGAAATACACCCTGATATTCCCACAAGATACTATGATACACAGTAGACAGGATGAACCAAGCTTGCGGACACAATGATGATAAAAAGAAGAAATACACAAAAAACAAAATACTTTGGGGGTCCAATTATACACATTCATAACCAATCAAAACTAATCCTTAATAGAGAGTCTAAATAGTGGCTATCATTGTAGGAGCATCTATTGACAAGGATGGGGCAAAGGAGCCTCCAAGATGCTGAAAATATGCTAAACCTTGACCTGGTAGAGAATATTTTAGTTTATACATATGTAGAAGGAACAGAAAATTTTAAACAGATACGACAATAGTACAAAAAAGTTCAACTGGGTAAGTGTATGTGTGTATACATATATATATATACACATGCACACATATGTGTGTGTGTCACATTTTTAAAAATCATTTTAAACAAAAAATGTGGAAGTCAAGTGAATACATCTCTTCAAAAAATGAGACAACTCCAAGGAGCCTGGCTTCATAAGTAAACACAGCTTACAGGCTATTGTAGATAAAAAGCATTTTGGGTTTGCTTTCCCCAAATGGGAGCAACTTGAGTACATTTTTATGTTGAGTGTAGAAAGTATGAAGATACAGACAAGGAAGAAAATAAACTAAAAAACAAGTTCCCTGAGAACACAGAAGGCATGGTATAGGCACTGCTGGAGAAACTGGCCATGGTGAGAGGCAAGATCTCCTCCACAGAGGATAAGAGAAGCCACAGGCATGCCACAGATGTAGGTGAACCTTTAAGAGTTCAGGAGCAAGAAACATGTAAGTACACAGCCTTTATTTTTAACATGAAATTAATTACATGCTGGGACATCGGTTGCTGAGGAAGTAGTGAACAAATGTGAGTGACTACAGGAGCCAGTGCAGGAAAGAGAACTGTCCAGAGGCAGAGAGCAGATGTGGGGAGACCTGCTAGGAGCCTCTGGCACTGTCCAGGCAAAAGACGAGAAGAGCTTGGACTAGGATGTTGGTGGAGGAGCCAATGGAAGTGGTGATGATGGGCTCAGGAGACCAGGATGATGTAAAATGAGCAGGACTAGGATGGATGGATGCTGGGTTGGATGAAGCTGGAGGACCCCAGGGGCCATCTGGGGTGTTTCTAGCCTTCTAACCTGTTTGGACGACAGGACATTCTCTGAACCAGGAGCTCGAGGTGCCTCTGAGACCCTTAACTGGAGATGTGGGATCAAGGGCATGGGGAGGGAGGTGTTTGGAACACAAAGGGTTGGAGGTGGGGCTGGCCAAGAGGCCTGAGGAACCACAAGAGGGGAGAACCCACGACTCAGTAGTGATGTCAGTCCACTGGGCGATGGCTCCAGCTACACTCATCAGCATGAATGTGGAGCAGAAAAAGCCAAATGTCCCCTTGGTGCCTTTCAGGGCAAGAGAGGCAGGAAAATATAGTTCAAAGGGCTGCTCTGACTGTCTGATGGTCAATCAAGGATGGACAAATGGATGGAGAAGGCAGGAAACAGTGGGAATGTATGATATTACTTTTACTCACTACATTAATACTGCTACATTGATTATACTAACAGCTGACTTTCATTGACACTATGGGCCAGGCACTGACCTAGGCAGCATTGTACGTTATCTCATTACATCCTCAGACAACTCAGTGACACAGAAATAATCACCACTCTGACGTATTTGAGTATAGCAGCCTGAGGTGATATAAAACAAACCCATTTGCTCTTCTCTTTGGGCACACAGCCAAACTATGTTTCCAGTCCTGAGCACCCAGGTGTGGCCAAATGCCTAGTTCTCATCAAGAATTTGTGGTCATGGCATAGCAAAAACAATTCTAGGCAATAAAAACAAAATGGGAGGTATCAACTTACCAGACTTCAAACTTTATTATAAGGCTGTAGTAATCAAAACAGCTCGGTACTGGCACAAAAATAGAGCCATTGACCAGTGGAACAGAACTGAGAACCCAGAT